TGAAAGGTACCATATGAAAGGTACCGACTGATTAGGTTTGAATGATGGCAGCGAAAAAAACAAGTTTCAGCCTGCAGCTCGCAGACACAGAGTTCGTATGTTTATGAAAATTGCAGTTATAAAAAATATATAGCGATACTATTTGCGGAATGTTCATAAATGATTGCACAGACAGAAAGCATGGAAACTTTTCAAGAGCTTCATATCGACTGTACGTGTGTCTAAAATGAATACATTAGAGGATCATAACGCCATTTCCCGGCACACCTCAGCTTCTATAGTCAATGTTTTGAACCCGACAATAACTTTGCAATTGAATGTATTATGAAATAAAATGATCAAACTGTAAGAAAAAAGACACCCAAACGAAACAAGAAAACAAACCAAAAGCTTGATACCCTTAAGACTAAAAAGAAAAGATAGGGAAACTAACAGGAAGAGAAAAAAGGTAGGGAAGAAAAAATGAAAGATATTTGTAAAATATGATTATTAAAGGGGAAAACAAGAAGGGTTTAAAAGATTAATGTGTTACAGCTATTTATTCAAAGGTTTTCAAATTGCTTTAATTCCCTCCTTCCCAGTCCCCCTCCGAATCCCAAGCTCACAATTATCGAGGGCCGCTACGTCAAATGATCAAATTTCCAGCCATCTGAGAATTTTTTGATGACTGAAGAAAACCGAAAACGTATCTAAAACAGCCAGGCAGGCACATTCACCGATAAACGATATAAAATGCAGTAAGTTTGCTTTCTCAGGGTTTACAAGAATTGCACAGCGAAATTTTCATCTAGGCTCTTCTAGATCAAATTAGAATTTAAAAGTTGACTTTTGAGGAGGAAAGAAGACCCGGGAACCCAGAGGAAAACTCTCGAATCACTGGAGTGAACCAGCAAACAACTCAACTCACATACGACGAATCCGAGGATCGAACCCGGATCGCATTGGTGAGAGGAGAGCGCCTTCACCATGAGACCAACCTTGCTTCCCAGCTACTGGGATTTTAAAATACCGTGGGTTCCAGAGGGAGGTTTTCCCGCGGATTTACTCAGTCAGTAAATTCGCGGGAAAACTCCCTCTGGAACCCAGGGTAATTTTAAAAAGACGCGACGTTTTAAACGACTTGTCCATTCTATAAAAACCAACATTTCCCTCTCTGTTATGTTAATTTATTTTTAGGCTAAGAAATATTGTTGAATAACAAAGGAAGAACAGTATGACACTCGGATATCTAATCAACATGCAACAAAACAAAGGCTTGAAAAACTCACTCGGTAAAAATACAATCTAAAAAACAATTTAGTTTGGGCTCCTGCCAGAAGAGGCAAGCTTATTTTTCATTTATTTTCTGAACAAGTATGATTTAGCAAGATTTCGGTGAAGTTTCGTTTCGTGCTGAAGGCGATAATTGCAAAGTTTTGATGATTGCTTATATAATCAATAATAAACAAAGACTGTAGACAATCATAATTAATCAAAGTCGGAAAAAGACTTCTAACTAACTTGGCAAATTCATTTGAATGATGTTCTTATGAGCTATATTCAAAGGATAAACAAAAACATTTAAAAAGATTGAGGATTTTAAGATCCAAATAATAGATACTCGAATCAAGAACACCGATGTGGATGTTGTGAGCCGTCCATTGAGTTTCGATAGTAAATATGAATGGTATTGAAACCAAACCTTCATATGAAGCCAAGAGAATTAAATATCTACAGCCAATTGACTAACATAACAAAAGCTAGGCACTGATACGAGATAATCGCTAGCTGCAGGATGGAACATCTAATCAGTATCTACAAGGGCCACGCGTCTATAGTATGAAGAGGTCAAACCTGACAAGAAGATAAAACGATTACTTCTAGTCTGTTGTTCTTTTAGTGGCAAATAAAATGTTTTTGGTCGCCAACTCACACATATACAAAGACCTAAAACCATTAATAATCTAACCATGATTATTTTTTGGTATTGGGTTTCCTGTGGTGTATATCAGTGTTAATGACGTTTTCTTCATGACCCCACGCGCGCCGTTTTCATGAATAACATTAATACTTGATATTACAAGATTATATAGCTTTACTACTAATAACATTTTAAGTAGCGAATAAAGACCAAAAAATTCTGCATTCAGTTTTTCACTTATTCTTATTCCCAATGCCTTGAATAATGTTTTGACATAGTACGAAAACAAGCATTTCCTTGAACAGCTATTTGTCTTATACGACAGCTGTTAAACAACGAAATAGAATGGACGTAAACAGATGTTCCGAAGGGTCATATCACAATATTCCTGGATAGAAATGAAGAAGTATTCTAGCCTTTCTTTCTTAGCTCTAAAATACACAGTACTGTATCAGATGGTACGAACAGATAACCAAAGGAAAACTGCTTTGAGCTTTAGGTCGTTTGAAACACTTTATAACTTTATAACTTTTTAAAATCAAAAATCTTAGAACACTCTCTATTTCTTTCTTCAAATTCAAAACAGTCACAAAAATCTCATCGAAAATCATTAACTTCACTTTTATAGCTTGGAATTGACGGCCGTTTGTAGTACTTGGCACTTGATTTTTTAAATAATTTACAACATTGCCAACTGCCTTAACTTCTAATGCGTTTCGGCCACTATTTGGATCATACTCCAGTTGTAAACATAGCGTAATCTCGATACTCTTGATAAAAACCAGTAATTTCTATAAAAAAAACACCGCTTGGATCAATTCCAAAGAATTATCATTTGCCTCCATAATCAATCACAAATGGAACTCTGATAATTGAGCAAGAACGACGGAAACTATCGGAAGAAGCCTACAAGTATTATAATTTGGCTACAGCGGAATTCGAGACTCAAGCAGTTTTTACAAGCATAAGTTAAGTGTATTAGAGAAAAAAACATCGATTGCTCACCTAGTGTCAAGATTTGGATCTCTTGTTCTCTCTCTTCTCGCTCCTTGTCAAGTAAAGCGTCGATGTGTTGGCTTCGTTTGTAAGCCGCTTTGAGCTCGCTCGGTTTGAGGTTGGATTCAGATCTCATCAACTCGGCCATAGTTACTTCAAACTCCGCTTATGTACACAACATTCTAATAATTACTAGTTTACACTATTGTTGCTCAAGGTTTTTACCTTAACTATGACTAGATTCAAAGATTTGCTTTGGTGGCTCAGAACCAGTCTGGATCTGTCTTGCGAGGTTAGATGTTGCCCAGACCACAAAACCTGATATGTTAATAGCTAACCGAATCAATAACCCTAAGTTTATTTTACGTCCTTGTGATATATGTACACGGAATCCTGATATGGAAATGAGTGTTAGATTGTTTGACTGAGTCACAATAAAAACAATAGTATATGGTCACACTGACCGAATATATAATAAATTCAGCGGCCACTCGAATCTTGGATAACAACTTGACGCTCGCTTTACTTCTTAGCATTTTAATCCAGGATTTTATTTTAATTCGAGTCCGTTTAGGTTGTCAGATTACTCGTCAGCTACTACCAATCGGAGTGCCTTGGTTAACTCCGTGTTAACACTTCATAAGATTCGTGTATAGTTTTGCTGTCACTCGAATATAAAGAGCATTAATCATAAACACGTTTATTAATAGTTCTTATCACTGAATGATGAATGGACTCTGAAAAATACGAGCAAAAAAATAATGACCAATAAAGCAGCGCTTCCCACAAGCTATTTAAAAACCCGTTCAATCGGCTATCGAAAGTTTTTAAAAAATTGCTTATTTAGTTTTGTTTATCTCAAAAGCTCATCAAATTTCGACGAGGAATTTTTTAAATAAATCATTTGATATTTTTTCGTAATTATGAAATTTAATTGTCGCGAGTTCATAAGGTTTTTTGCTAATAATATTTATCTAAATTTTTAAAAAGTAGGTGTCGTTCAAGGCGGTTGTACCGAAGTGAAATTTTTCTATTGAGCTGAAGGCACAGAATGCCTGAAACGTCACGAATAAATGTTGTCAAATCTATTGTCCAAAAGGTGATTTGGTACATTGGACAATCTATTTGTCAAACTGCAATCTTTTTCATTATATTTTGAAAACCAAGGTTGAAAGCGCTAACATTTTGAAAGGAAAACAACATGATCAAATGAAAGTGTCAGGACTGCACGAACGGTCACGAACGAAAAGAAAAACATACCGCATATCTGCTGCAGCAATTAAAATTAGTCATCCTTCCAAGGTTAACTAATTTTATTTTCTTTCTAATCAGTAATTATATTTTACCTGAATTTTTTCTGTTAAAAAATGAGCTTTATTTAGTTATTTGGCAGCAAACTGCATCCTTTTTTACAACAAAAAAATAAAATAATAAAATAAAATAAAAAAGAACGAAAGAAAGAGAAAAAAGAAAAAGAAAGAAAGAAAATCAAACAGAAATTATGAAACGCGTACAGGTGACTAAGTTAGCTCCACTAGTTTGGTCAGACATGAGTTTTCATATTTTGGAAAGTACGGTTCGTACTATTTGCTTGAAAATCAAAAAGCGCCGCTAGTAGGTTTCCCCCTCGAGGCACGTAAATAAGTCAACTGGATTTAATTGTCACTTGGCCGCTGGGCAATAGAACAGACCTCCCATTTTTATTCCTGACTTCCTACTCCATATTCTCTGCGCGAAAAATCTCTCGAATAACACTTATCCAGACATCTACAGTACGATTGTGTTAAGATACTAAATTTTAACATGGATTGAAGATTTTCAATTTCAGATTTTCTGATCGCGGTGAATAGTAGTAGTAGCGATCTAGACTTTAGTGTTCTAGTTGAGCGGTTCATTAGTTCTGTAATGAAATGATTAAAGACATGGTTTTTATAATAGCCCTAGATTTTGCTCATTTGATCGTGAGCAATTTAAGTTTTCTAATTATATTCCGCGCTTTAGGTAAATTAATGTGAGGCGGAAAAGTTATTGCATGGAGAGAGTGACGTCACAGGACATATTGTACACCACTAGAATAATGTACAAAAGCAAAATAACGTTTTCGATTTTTTAAATCAAAATAAGAATATACCTTTGGAAAAGTCTTTGCCGGTTTTTTTTTTTTTTTTCCCAATAAAATTTATTCACTGAAGGCATTAAACCCAACGGCTGGATAATACTGCTGAGTGAAAAATGGATGAAATACAGCTTAGTTTCAAATTGTAATTAAAAAGCGCTACAATATAAAACATATAAATTATGAATCTTTAAAAAAATGTGACAAACACTTTTATTTGAGGACAGCGAGGGGACCCGGTTACCGGTTAATTAATAAGGGTCTTTGCAAGAGCGCGGTGTCCATATTTTGATTATTTGTAAGTAAAGCCATAGGTTCGACTGTTTTTCTCGATAATTCAAACAAAATCTGATAAATTCAGAGGACACTTGTATGCTGTACCTTTAGAGTTCAAATTTGGTTAGTTAATACGCTGTTTTAAACTGGTATTTTATCTTTGGCGGAAGCAATTATGAGAGTCCGGATGGGTTTGATAGTTAAGTTGGTTTAGTTATTGTGTACCCAAGGTTAAGTCACACTATTTTTTGCATTATTTCAGTTCTTGTATCAGCAATCTTTCCAGCGATTAAGAATAAGTTGCTAGACTATGTTGAGCAAGAGAGGAAGATATGTGTACCGTAAGTGTTCTATGTGCAGATCAGGGCCGGTTGTACGAAGGGTGGATAAACGGATAAATCTTATCAACTAGGAACATTTTTTGGATAACAGCATCACTTTATCTGCTGCATAAGGATTTATCTGTATCTGTTGGATATCGTTATCCACCCTTCGTACAACCAGGCCCAGAGGTTGTGAGTTTGGACGTGATAATATATAGCGGATTGTATTGAAACCAAAAGAAGATGGAAACTGGAATTGCTTTTTGGCGATATTCTTCTTGTTGTTTAAAACTCCCCAGCGTCTAGTTGCGAAGAGCCTCTTAGGTCACATTTTAAAGAATTAAAGAGCAATGGCATCCGAAATACGTCACAACACGAAAGTCGCACTTCAACGCACGCATCTCGCGCGAGCCATCCGTCCGTCAGTCGTGGGTCAAACATGTTGATAATCTCTCCGCTTTTCAACCGACTACTTGCGTGCTTAGTACTCAACATCTGTGCTCTTGATCATGAAAACATCTGGAAACACAAGGATAATAGAAACTTGGTATTTTTTATCTGGTCATCGGGGTCATTTTTTTTGGTTCGATTTTTAACATTTTTATTTTAAATTAGACAGGTTTCTCGAATACCGGAACTGACCAGCAGAATACCAAATGAGTGTAAAGGGATCGATTGTTAAATGAGCAAGGTTAACTTGTCAATATACATTAGGCAAAAGATAAATTTGCACTCATTTCTAATTACATATGGTGTTTTTGGCTTAGCAGCTATGGAGCGGCCTTCACTATAGTAAGGGGTACCATTGTGTAAGCCCATTTTCCAATTTTTCCCTTTATTCAGTGTTTGCTGGAGACATTAGCACTAAAAGAGTGAGACTCTACCAATTGGAGAACGCCCTACGTAGAACGAAAGAGTAAAAAAATCGATAAAAAATGCACTAGAACATTTTTTTCGTGCGTGCCTTTGTTTTCCTATATCATTCCCCTATGTTATCTAATGTCATTGATATGTATAAATACTCTGACAAGGGAAAAGTCAGTCGCCATCTTTGAAAAACAACTCACTTTTAACAACGATTTCACCGTGTTTTAAACCTCAAGCTCTGCAAAAAAAACTTGATCAAAATTATCTACTATAGTTTTTGGATGTATGAACAGAGTTTTGAATACGGAAGGCAAGGATTCTATCAGCCGTTGCCACCGAACGGAATGCACTAGAACATTTTTTTCGTGCGTGACTTTGTTTTCCTATACAATTCCCCTATGGTATCTAATGTCGTTGATATGTATAAATATTCTTACGAGGAAAATCAGTCGCCATCTTTGAAAAAAACAACACACTTTTAACAACGATTTCACCGTGTTTTAAACCTCAAGCTCTACGAAAAAAATTGATCAAAATGATCTACTATAGTTTTGGATGTATGAACAGAGTTTTGAATACAGAAGGCAAGGATTCTATCGGCCGTTGCCACCGAACAAAGTCCATAATTTGCCGCAGAAAAGCCACTGAGAAAGAACACTCCAGTTAACCCGATTTCTTCAACCCAACCAAACTAAATGCTTTTTTAAGCCACATGGAAGACAGGGGGTTTGTTTAAAACCAAGTATCTGTGCCACAAAGTTCGCTTTTATCGTCGAAAAGCCAATAGAGATAGAAACGGCAGTGACCGTTCGTTCATTTATAAACTAACCTTTCATATTGCAGTCGTATATTTGGTAATTTTAAAAACTCGAATCAAACTATCCTGCGCTTGTTAAGAAATAATAAGTGATACAGAAGAGCTTTACTAAGTCATAGTCAATGCAAGTTTGGGTAATGTTTATGGTCGTTTATGCTGGTCACAGAATTCTTGTTTTGAAGCCGTGTCAGTATGGTCTGCTAGTCGTGATAATTGAATTATTTGGCGCTTATTTGGTAGCCGACCGTACAAAGTTTCTGAGTCTCTGAGTCACTATACATAAATAATATGCGCATATTTAATTTGAGTCATCAAAACGAGGCTAAACCCGCAGGGCTTCATATAATTCGAAATGCCGGCCAAGCAGTGAAAACATCCGGGGGCTTAATTTTTCCAAGTCTTACGTTTTTGTTTGTAAAATAACTTAAGAAAACAACATGCAAGAGTAGCGGGGGAAAAGAACTATGTAAAGGCATTAAATATAGTTGTGAAAACTACGTCCGTGGCATAAAACGTAAGCATTTGGGTAATTCAAAAATGACGACTTTATATTAAAACTACCAGTTTTTTTGTGACTGATATTCCGTATTTTTAACAGGCCCGTAGCGGGGGGAGGGGCCAGGGGGCCTGGGCCCCCTCAATAATTTGACTTTTTTTTTAGTAAACGTCCAGCTAAATTTCAAACACTATTATCTTAAAATTGATAGGGGCGACTCATTTTTCTGAAAAAAGTTCACATAGTTGGCATTTGTAAATGATGAAAACTCAAAACAAGACATGCGAAAAAAGACATACTTGAAAGAAACCATTCAAATGCTTCATATAATTTGAATTTAGGACCTGGCTAAGCGAGGAAACAAGTTTCCAGAAATATGTTTCCCACGCACATGTTCCCCGATGATTCCAAGTTTAGCCACATGCGAAACATTGCTACGTGCAACAAATTTTGCTTCCAAAACGCAAAAATGTTTCTGCTGTGCGGCAGAAACATT